CAGTGGCATTTAACCCCTATAAGAATTTCACATATGATATATAATTATTTTATGAGGTACTAAAGGACTTTCTCTCCCCATTTTTGGTGGGAATGAAATGAATTTGAGAAATTTTGGAAAGAGATCTTTAATGAAATCATAGCAGTGCTCATAAGATTGAATGCTCACTAAATTTAGACTTATTACATATATTGAATGGACACAATTACAATGTTAGGAAGCAAGAAATATACTATTTACCTGCTTCTATACTTTTCAATATTTCTCTTGAAAAATTATTTGATAAAGATTTGGTTGGCTGATTGCTTTGCTTGATAAAGATCTAGTTAGGTACTTAAAAAACAAACTGGGAAATATTTTATTGGAATTGGTTGGATTTTTTTAAATGATAACATGAATTTCCACTTAGATGTATAGAAAATGTAATTGTTTGAAACAAGATTGTTTCATGCACTATATGAACTATTATATGTAGCATGTTTCAATGTCAATAATAATAGTAACATTACACCGAAACAGACACAAAGCATACTTTCTTTCCTCTGATAACTCAATCCATTTTATATTGTAAGGTTCCTGATCTTATTCTCACCAAACACTTATGAGACAGGTATGGTCCTAAAGTCATCTAGTGAAATCCATGTTTGAGGGGAGATCTGAATTTTTCCACCCCACTAATTAGTGATATGACAACATATGGCAAGACAGCGTTGTAGCCCTCCAGTTACTAGAGGAGTTACTACTTATGATACTTATGTCAATTTGATCACTATATTTTCCCTTAAATTTTCCTACATGGAGGTCTTTTTGCTTCATTTCCCTTTCTAAATACAAAAGAATCTGGGCTAAAAGGGACTAAGAGAACCCCTTTTTTCTTGAAAAGGCTATATTGGAACAAGAAGAAATCTTACCACTTCCTCTCTATCAAGTGACAGTTGAGAGATCTCATCCATTGTTTGTTTGCATCTTCATGTGATGGTTGCAACAGTTGTGCCTCCTCCCACTTTCTGGCCCTGAGCCCTCTAATCCTTGTTGTTTTCAAGCCCAGCAGATGTCAAAGTAAGGGCAGGAAACATCACTACATGGCCCATCAGGAGGCCTTGGGGTGAAGTCAGTCAGGAAATCTTGTTTCCTTCCCTTACTTTGGTATCTTCCGTATAGGAAGAATCAAACAGAAGCATGAATGAAATTTCTCTCTCAAGTTTGTGCATGCACAAGTACATATGTGGGTATATACAAATGCACACACAACATACACACATACACATAATGAAGAGACCATTTTAGTGCAGTTCCACTTATAATATTTTTAGTTTGTCAATTTCCACTACAGTAATGAAATTGCTGTATGCAAAATATAAACATAAGCAAATGAAACTATTAATTTCAAAGAAATACTCTTTAACAGTAACATGAATTAATTCCCCTCCAGGCAACCATAAATACACATTTAAATGGCATTTTCCCATTTAATTTTTGATGCAGCAGAAGAATGAATATAAAAGACTTTGAGGTTACTAATTTACATTAATCATCCTTATTATGGAATGCTTCTATTCCATATTCTAGCCACATTCTTTAAAAAAAATACTATCATTCCAGGCCAAGTTTTCCATTACTAATTGTGCTATGGTGAATATATTCAGCCTTTACTAAATTGCATATGCAAACAGCTATCACCTTTCTTTTGAAAATAGATGTTATGAATAATACAACATTCTGTGTTGTCCATCCATCTTAAGCCTGCTATTCTATATATATATATTGTGAATATTGAAATCCAAAACACGTGGAAGAGCATCAGATTGAATAGGGTCATACTTATCTCTGTTTAAACTTTAGCATTAGATAACCAAAGCAATTGTGCTGAATGATACACCTGGAAAAACAATGAGGCAGAGTTTTAGATAGCTTTTCCAGAAAGACGGTTAGATTTAGATAATACACAGTCCCAGGGAGAAGGGAAGAGATTCAGGGTAGCCACAGATACCTAGAATTTCTCATGATGTATCTAGCAGGATATAAGGTTATAGATTGTTTGTCAAGGTTCTGTCCATTAGGAGTAAACAAATAAAGGATTGATCTTGATTGGAATGCAGTGATTTGGACCTTATGAATATTGTCTCACAGAAGTTCAGTTAAATTTAAGGCTGAACCGATAGTTCTCGCTTAATCACTATAGTTGGAACTGCTAAACAATACAGTGAGATATCATATGCCTATGATGGACTTATGATTTCACTTCCACTGTGGCTCCCATCTATTCGCTGCCTCCCGAGTCCCAGCTGATCGGAGTCCCAGTTGATTGGCTGGATCTTCTTTTGTTGCCCTGGCACAGGAGAATGGAGCTGGAAAGCAGGTTAGTGGGATGGGGAGGGAATGGGGATTTTACCGTATCCTTCCCCTGAAGTAGGGTGAACATGGAGATTTTACAGTATCTTTCCCCTGACATGCCCACCAAGCCACACCATACCCGCCAAGTCACACCATATCCACAGAACTGGTATTTTTTAAAAAATTGAATACCACCACTGGGACAGTTAAGTGAGGACTACCAATATTTCCCAAGGTTTGATTACAATGAAAGAGTAGAATTTTGTATGCAACGTTGCACAACTTCTCAGGGCCAAAACTATGTTCGGGGAGGCAAAAAAGACCATACTGTATTTGTGAAAGTTGCAATTTGCTATGCTGACATTCCTTCTACTCCCCTCCTAACCACTGATGGCTCAACTATTTTGGTGGTAGTAGTACTAATATAATAATAATTTATCAAAATTGTATGTTCCCCAATTTTCAATAATTCTGGGGAAATCACAATAGCTAAATTATGATAAAATCAATAAAATGTAAACCCTCCCCCCTCCAAAAAAAGGTTAAAAGATCGCAAATATGATGAAGTGAAGGGTGTCACTTTCCCTTGGTTAAGAGCTAGTATGAAGGCAAGGAGAGCTTTACTGCCAGACTCCATTAAAAATATTATTCATACAGTTGCAGAGTAGCCAGATTAGAGGAAAAATGGGTAAAGTGAGGATCTATTGTTTGTAGAGTTCGCATTTGTATATGAAAGGTCTTTGGAGCAAAGACACTCCTGGAGCTTGAGACTAACAAGCATTATCTCACATGGAATTTATAAATCCTGTTGTATTAACATCAGATAATCTAATTAGCACAAAAGCCAAGTTTACATTTACTAGAATGGATGTGAAGAGTAAGTTTCAATATAGTTTTGTTCTAGAATTTCAAAATCTATAAATGAGAATTGTGTGCAAAACAGAGTCTTAACTGCTACTCAGAATATCTCTGAGTATAAATGTGTTTTAGCATTAGTTCGTTTTTCTATATTCCCCTCATTCTAGTTTTTCATGCTGTTTAATTTCAGCAATCTGATTCTGAAGCTGGGTAACCTTTCTATTCTCTTATTTAACAACTGGAAATCTGAAATTTCAATTAGGAGTCACTACGTTCCAAGTGTAGACAGTAATCCCAGTCTAGTTCTACTCCCCACCCCCCGAGGTTCCAAATATTATCAGAACAAATCTCTACATCTCTACACTGAAACTGAAAAGTTGCCTAGATTAGCAGCACTGCCAATTTAAGATAATTTTACTTACATGGGGCTATTATTTGCCAATATTTAGAATTTTAGCTTTTGTCTCAAAGTTCATTTTTAAGAAGGTCCTTAAGAAGGATTTAAGAAATCTTTAAAGATTCAATGATAGACTGTTTGAAATGTATCCCATTTTTATGCTTGGGCTCAATTTAGGGAATCAGGTGGCATACAAACTTTACATTAATAAATATATTATATCTTGTCTTAGAATAATATTACACACTACAAGACATCAATTTCATAAAGAAATGCAATACTCAGTTTCTTGTACTTCTTCAAATTAAGATTTAAATTACAAATAAACTTGTGTGTAAGTTATTACTGAATGTCTATTTTTGTTTCCGTTTTAAACTGAACTCTAATACTTGGGATCAACATGTCATGTAGGCATTCATGAGTGGATTTATACAGCATATGTGATGTCATGACTAAAGATGCTTTAATCTGGTGAGTCTGTTCTGTACTCCATACAACAGGATAACAGAGTTAGAAGGGCCTTTGGAGGTCTTCTAGTCCAACCCTCTGCTCATGGAACGAAACCTTATATTATTTCAGACAAATAGTTGTTCAATCTCTTCTTAAAAACTTTCAGTGTTGGAGGCAAGTTGTTCCACTGATTAATTGTTCTAACCATCAGGAAATTTCACCTTAATTCTACGTTATTTTTCTCAATTAATTTCCATCCATTGTCCTACCTTTAAGTGCTTTGGAAAATAGGTTGGCTTTCTATTCTTTATGGCAACCCCTTAGATATTGGAACACTGCCATTATGTCATTCCTAGTCCTTTTCATTAAATAAACATACCCATTTCCACAACTGCTCTTTATTTGTTTTGACCTCCAGCCCCTAATCACCTTGTTGCTCTTCTCAGTGCTCTTTCTATAATCTCAACATCTTTTTTACATCATGGCAACCAAAAACTGGATGCAGTATTTCGAGTGTGGTCGTTCCAAGGCATTATAGACAGTGTGAGATTTCTATCATGAAAATCACAGTGTATGCTTCTCTATAATTTCCTCCCCTTGCAGCCCATGCGTTTATCAAAAAATGCATTTCACCAGGCCAGTGACCTCTGCTGAATGGGATTGGGGCGCAAAGAGGAAGAAGAGGAAAATCCCCCCAAATGGGATATAAGTATCTTCTATAAGGAAATTATTTCAATTCCTGCAGCAACCTTCCAGAAACTTACCAAGGTTTAGTGGCTCATTATGTAATATCGGGGAGATTAGTGCTGCTGCATAACAATCACAGGACAGCAACATAATCTACTTCCTCCAGTTTAGCTGAAATCTATATCTCTATCCAAAATCATTTATGAAAAACAAGATTTAAAAAGAAATAGGCAAAGCTGTAGAAGTACCAAAATGTATTTATTCAAGACCACCATAAAAAATAATTCTAAACAAATTATAACAAATTGGAATTAGGATTCTTCTCCCTAGCAATGAATTTTGCAAAATCAACATTCCCTCCTTCATTCCTTCCTTTCTTCATCTTTTTTATTTATTTATTTTAACATGTTATATAAACATACACTAAAACTTCTTACATTCATTTAATAAAAGAAAGCCCTGGTCAGTAAAAAAAGAAGAAAAAGCACCATTCTTAGCTCACAAGTTAAACATGTTTTCAAAGCCCTTCTAGAAAAAATATTTTTAATCAAAAACTATAATTTGGAAAAGCTAATGAGAATTAAAAATCAGTGTCTAATACACAAATTCAAGAATTCCCTGCATCATAGTAGTAATTGGGGTTCACATTTTTTGACAAGCAAGAAGCAAATCTGCCTCATCCTAAATACATATTCTAGATAAGAACGACATCAGCTGAGGAAATATCATTGATGCTAACTGCCAACATAACAGACATCTACCAAAAGTTGAATTGTACTTTGAGTATACCCAAGAGAGTCTGAGCTATCCATCAAGGGAGTAACACTTAACAGCCTCTGCTCTGAATAGTGTTTTATTTAGAAGCAATAATAATTAAACTGATCGCTCTCCTGTTTCTCTCAAATGTTTGCAAAGCCTAATCAGAACTAGCATGAAGAAGACTCCAACCATAGAGTTTTCTCTGAAGAAAATGATATCTATACTGTCCAGGAGGTATTCAACTAGAAAATACTTTTTTGCACCATCTTTTTTGCACCAGCAGCTACTGCTATTACATCTGGTCTCCATAAATGATAACTGTGAAATGACAGCAAAGAGCTACATCTCTATATCTCTTCACTGCCATCTTATAGTTGTACAGATTTTTGCAGATCTATATATTGGCAAGTGACACTAAAAATAAAATCCTCTGGCTTGATCTTGTTTATATCAGTTTTAAACAAATGATGCAAATGCCGGAATCTGACATAACCTGAAATGCCCCCAAATTTGTACAGCTTCAAACATTTGTATAAAACTTTCTGTATCTTTTCTTGTTTGATTCCAGTTATTTTACTTTATTTCTTAGCCAAGAATAATACTGAGAGCTACAGAGTTACATCAACAAGTTAGGAATTGTTAGAGATTCTTGTATCCATCTGGCAACTGGTGATAAGACAACTAAAATTTGTTTTCCTGTTAGGATCTACTTAATTCACAAATAGAGATCAATGCCCATTTAGCCACAACTATGGAAATTTAAAAGTGTAGTAGATTCCCATTCTAATTGGTTTTTAGAGAATCATAGATTTTATCCCAAAGAAGAGAAGACTACAAATCATCTAAAATGGCCAGCAATAAATTCAAGAAAGCCATTTTTGCTGTTTTTATTCATTTTTAGTATATCCTAGTCCAGCTGTTACACCATTTTTAATCAGCCATCTTTATATATACATATTTTTGCAGGCCTAAAGATAGGATAGGAAGATCAGAAACAGTGGGCAGTTTAGTTGTTACTGAACTATAATTCCCTGCATCCTTCACCATTTATCATGCTAACTAAGGTTGCTGGGAGTTGTAATTTTCCCATATCGGGGGGGGGGGGGCACCTTTGCAGAAGCTGCATTCCCATAGACTTCACTAAATCATAATGCCAGCGGCCACTTCATGATAGCAGACTTGAAAATTAGCTTAGAGCCCGTCTCTAATCTGCAAACCGTTGTAACAAATTATCTTCTCCACGTAGGACACTGCTATTCCCTCCAGTGCTACTATCCATGAAGCGTTCACAAGGGAACTCAATGAGGTCAGCCTCACGCAAGGCACAAACAGCACTACGCGGTGTACGGTGGGACTGGAAGCCAGAAAAGTCGGTGGAGATTCCTGTCCCCATGGACCGGAGGGGCCGACGGGTGGAATACATCTGCCTAACATGGACTGGAGAGGCTGCCTTTCTCCGGCGGCACCCCAGGACCTTCTTCCGCACCAGGCGGGAAGCCCAGGCTGCCAAAGCCAGAAAGAGTAGCAGAGCATTGACCGCCAGAAGCACAAGGGTGAGGAGCTGCTGATCCAAGCTTTGGGTCCCCCCAGCCATCGCAGCAACTGCTGCCCCCACGCCTTCTTCAGGCAAAGTGACCAGCCCTGCACAATGGTCCCGTGGTGCCACTGGGCAGACCCGGCCCCCCATCACTCCCTCCACACAAACCAGATATGGGGTATCCGGACGCAATTCTCGCAGAGTGGCTACCGGCTCATTCCATTCAGGGAGATAAACAAAGCGCTGGAACTTGATGGCAGCACCAAAGCGATCAAAAAGGACTCTGAAGCGCACAGGCCCTAACAAGCGAGGGCTGCGGTGTGGGTGGACCCCCCAGCGCACTGTCACTGCACTTTCAGTGACAGTATCCACTGTCAGGTTGTACAGAAACAATTTGTTAAAATCACATGGATCAGTGACCAGAGGAAGGGTACTAGATACCAAGTGGTGTTTTCCTGCTCGCCGAGGCCAGGGGGCAGCAAGTACAGAGGGAGATCTAGTACTGATAAGAAAGGTGGGCAACAGGGGGGTTGGATCTGTCTGCACATTCCAACTTCCCTTTTCGGATACCATCTTCTGGGATCCCATTAGCAACCCAGTTGAAATAGAAGGTGGGGAGCTCTGTTTATCCAGGCCCAAGCCTAAGCTAGAATTACCATTGCCTCCAGGACTGGCAGATGTTAACCCTTCCAAACAAGAGCCATTAGAAAACAAAAAGAGTTGCACATCCTCTAAGTAATCAAGGTATTTCCCAGCCAGGGCAGGTGGCTGGTGGCACTGGACAAACACAGTCAGAAGCCGGCCCTGGGAATGCCAGGATGCCAGCCACTGTTTCAGCCCTTGCAAGTGGCAATCGCAGTTCCAGGGATTCCCATCCAATTCCAAGCGATACAATGCTGAGTTGGAGGTAAAGAGGTCTCCGGAAAGGGAGGCCAGGGCATTTCCCTGCAAACTGAGCTCTCGCAACTTATTTAGGAGACCAAAGGTGCCAGCAGGAAGACTAGTGAGGAGATTATTACTCAGATCCAACACCTCCAAGCTTTGCAGAGGCTGGAATAAGGTGGCAGGCAGTTGGCTTAGCAGGTTCCCTTCCAAGTGCAACTCTTTCAAGGACCCCAGGCCAGCAAAAGCCTCCACTGCCAACCACGTCAGGCGGTTTCCACCCAGTGACAACCTGGCCAAGCTGGAGAGATGTTGGAAGTATCCTTTCCCTAGCTGTTGCATGTCGTTCCCAGAGAGGAGGAGGGTGCTAAGCAAGCGCAGAGACCTGAAGGTATCTGGGTGGCGCAGCAAATTCTGCTGGTTGCCAGACAGGTCAAGGAAGCGTAGCTTGCCAAGCCCAGCAAAGGCATTACGGCTCAGCCAACGGATCTGGTTGGCCTCCAGATGCAAATACAGCAGGTTGGTTAGTCCTGAAAAGGTGGCGTCGCTCAGCGAGGCCAGCAAGTTGCCGTCCAGCCGCAGCTTGATCAGATTGTTCAGACCGGCGAAGGAAGCGGTGCTTAGATAACTGATCTCGTTAGCGTTGATATAGAGGACTCGCAGTTTAGCCAGTGGGCGGAGTGTGCCCGGCGCCAAGGAAGCCAAGAGGTTATTGCCCAAGTAAAGCTCCTCCAGACGCCCCAGGCGCTCGAAGGCTTTCGGATGGAGCGAACGGATCCGATTATACTGCAAGTCTAGGCGCTGCAGCGCCACCAAGCGGTGAAAGTCCAAAGCCGAGACATTGGCAATGAAATTGCCGCCCAGGCTATAGGTGAGGATGTCCTGCGGCTCGGCGGTCTTGGGCACCGACCGTAGTCCCCGATTGGTGCAGAGGACGTGCTGCTGCTGCTGGCAGTCGCATGACTCCGGGCAAATGGGCGCTACCGCCGGCGGAAGCAGCACTAAGAGCGAGTAGGCGAACAGCAGCTGCATCAGGAGGACTCTGAGCTGGAGCAGCGGCGGCGGCGGCTCCATCTCTCTAGGGCAAACGGCGGGCTTCTTCCCCAGTTCCCTCGGCGTCTCTCCGGCATCCCCTCCTCGTGGGCGGCGGCTTGGGTTGGGTTCCGAACCCAGCTCCGAGTGCAACGCAGGCCACCAGCCGCGCTCTTCCCCGCTCACAACGCCAACGGCTCTTTGCTCCAGACCTGCCCGAGCGCTCCGTCTCCTGCTCCTGCAGCTCCCACCGCCGCGCCTTCGGGTTGGGGTCTGGCTCCCTGCGACCCTTTCCTGTTTGTGCCTGAGCGGCTGCTCTCGAAGCCTGCAAGCCAGGCGGGGGTGGCGGCCAGGGACAGACAATCGGAGCGGAAACTCGCACTTCCCACACTTTGCCCCCGGGAACTCGCTAGACCTGGAGATCGGATAGAAGGAGGGGAACGGGAGAAAGGCCAGACCTAGCGGATTGGAAGGAGACAGCCGGACCAGGGCGGCGCGGGGTTGGGGTGGAAAGGAGGGAGGGATAGCGAGGGGAGCGTAGCTAAGCAGCGGGGTTGCCGTCTAGGCAGGAGAAGGGGCGAAGGGGAGAGAAATAGAAGCGCGTGGACCGAAGATTAAGCACTCATAGATTTTAACATAGGGAGGAGTCGGAGTGGTCAGCCCACTGGGATTCCTCGTGGCCTTCCCCTTTCCATTCGCTAGTGGTGTGAGTCATCTTCGCCTATCTGCCCAAAGTAATAGCCATAGCTTAGAGGACTTTAGATTTTGCCCTTCCACAAGTGGAAATCTGATTCTGGTTGCCTGACCTCCCAAGGTAGATGCTGCCTTCATGGGCCTGCAACAGCCTTTCAAAACAGTCCCCTGGTGCTAAGATGCTCTTGGTGTGTTCCTGCTCCGCTACACCTTAAAGCATTCAAACAAACAGGACACAGTCTTGTGGTCCTTTCAGCAAACCTAATGTGACTTCCAAATGGCTGGAAATTATAGCTTCTTTTATTGTACTGGCTTGGCCGTTCGGTTGAACTGGAGGGCTTTGGGTTCATAAAACATTAGGCTAGAAAATAAGAATTGACCATGCCTACCTCACAAAACTGTGTTAAGATAAAAGGTTGAAAGTGCATTGTTCAGTGTTTAAGAGGGAGGGGGTGGCTATATCTAATACATTTTTAAAAAAATTAGGGACACTAGATGTTCTCTTCAAACAATTTAAATGATAATCCCAGGGCTTTGGGGTGTCTTATTTTCACAGTCTGCTGACACATTTAATATTCTGGCTTTCCATAAAGTGACACTAATTGTGTCACTAATTTATTTAAAAGTGACACTAATTTATTGACACTAATTGTGCTGAGGGTTCCCCTCCTCCCGATTTTCAGACAGAATTTCACATACTTTCTTTTACTTTTCCAAGCTGGCAATATTACCGATAATCCAACCATTATAGCATGACAGATTAATCTGAAGATCTCTAGCCTCTTTTCATCTCAACGTTCTTTAAGATCTTAAAAGTTTACACCTTTAGGAAATGATCCCATAATCTGACAAATTCTTACATTTGCAGATTTTATGCACTGAAAAACAGAAGTAGGTATTGGTAGGAACCCAAAACTACAGTGGGTTCCTTTATCTAACTTTATTTGATAAAAAAAAATTAAAACTTTAAAACATTCTCAATGAAAATCCGGAAGGGATAGATGTGGCTGATTATGAAGTAAAGAAGAACCTAGTCAGAAAATTGAACAACATACAAGTTAGATTGCCTTAGATTCCTGTTTCTTAAGCTCAACAAGTCAACATATTAAATGTGTGTACATCAATTCCCAGAATTCCCTAAATGGTATAGGGAATTCTGGGAGCTGAAAGCCACACATTTTAATGTTGCTGATGCTGTATTGAAAACTACAGAAATGAGAATTTTCCCAAAGCATCCTGGGAAGAAAAGAGGAAAAACTTTTGACTCCTTATTTTGAGAAACACAATACCCACCACTGAAATCAAAATTGTTTTTATCTATTGAAACATATTCATATCTCATAGTAGGAATAAAATACAAAGATTTGTAAGACAGTAAATATTGAGATATTTAAGCTACATTGTTGGATAAAGTCAGTTGAAACGAAATCAGGTAGAATTGTCTATACAGGGTAAACATCCTGAAAGAATTTCACCCTGGGGGTGCGAGACGATATTCCAGGGGGTGCGAGAAAAGTCCAGGTAATTTTTATTTATTTTTATTTATTTATTTATTATGCAATGGATTAACTTTGTTTTCATTTTAGAGTTAAGTATCGTTATTTAGTGGCCGTCACATACATAGCTGAAAAGATTCAATCCTACCATATATTTAGCGAGTTCAGTAGTTCCTAAAGTCTAAATTTCAGGGGGTGCGAGGTTCGAGTGAAATTTCTTTAGGGGTGCGGAGCGAAAAAAAGGTCGGGAATCACTGATATAAAGAATTGCTCTGTTTAAACTTAAAGCCAAATTGATAGCAGGAATCAGACTTACTTCTGGGGTACATCAATAGCATGTCCAATAGTGTGTTTTCCTAACGAATGACTCTGAAAACACTGAATGAAGAGATATTGGCATGTGCTAGAAATGGATTTTGCACTGGATTGCATCATCAGGTTGCTCTGTTTTCCAGTCAATCCCAACATGTAAGCAAGGAAGTAGCAGGAAATTCCCAGCCCTGCTATTTAAAGGAGCATTAAAGCTACCATTATTATTCATGTACATTCCCAAGCAGTTCCTACATTGTTGCAATAAATTTATGACATTTTTTGCTGTGGAAGAATCAGGTAATGACACTAGGTTAGGGTAATCAGAAACTTCTCTTTCATTCATTCCCTTTCATAAGCAGTGGAGAAATAAAATATTAATTTTAAGTAGCTTTATTCATGGTTGTTTTGCATTTCTGAACTCAGGTCAAACACTACATAAATCCTGTAGATGATCTTGGCATAACTCAGATTTAAATCAGTGAAATACTAGTTCTGAATGGGATTCAGCAGAAGCATTTGGTAGTTAGCCAGATGGGGAAGAACTGTTGGAAAGAGGACAAGCAAATTATTCGGATAAAAAAGTCTTGTACTAGTCTTTGGATGTAAAGTTGACATTTTGAACCAAACATCTGTAAAAATGAACATTATTCCAATCCAAGTACTAGCTGGATTTTCAATTAGAAATTCAAGATTAATTATATTTATTTTCTTTATTCCAGCAGTTCCTACAGATATTGAGAGCCCAGAAATCATCTCAGCATCTGGTAAGATATAAATTAAGGATCTGCCATGTTGCCTTGAAAACCATGACTGTCATGATAATCTTTAGGTTTTTGGCTTTTGTATGTTTATCAACCATGTTTTATATACCGTATTTGCCGGCGTATAAGACGACTTTTTTGCCCCGAAAAACATGCCTCCAAGTGGGGGGGTCGTCTTATACGCCGGTATATCCACTGCCGGCTTTCGGATGCTTGTTGGACGCAGCGAAGGCGCCTCTGGCTTCCCGGATCCCCTGCGTCGCTTCCGCTTCATCCCGCTCGCCTCGCTCCGCCCGAGGCTGCAGCCTTCCTGCTCTTCCCACGGCCCCTGGCACTCCGCCCTGCCGCTGCAGCCCCGGGGATTTCTGGAGGGCGTTTCTGGTGGTGGTGGGTGGTCGTCTTATACGCCGGGTCGTCTTATACGCCGGCAAATACGGTATTTGTTTGATGTAAGTTCATAATGGCTTGTTCAACAAACCACAGTCAAAACAACATGCTTGGCACAATGGCATGAACCCTAACCCTTCAACCCCAACTCTAGATATGTCAGGCTTCAAGAGCTAAAACCTTAATTAGCATGCACAATGACTGGATTAGGAAGAAATTCTGGCAACTTTATCATTTGAAGTCACCAGGTTGGGAAGGTTACTGTAATTAAATACAGATATTAAGACTATAACATCAATCTCTTTTATTTGTTTTTTTAATATCTGGTCCACTTTTAGTTATTACCAATCCTGGTGAAAGTTAGAGGGAACTCAAATATTTGCTATTTACAGTGCATTTTGTTTTGCTTTTTAGTCAAGAGCACCCCTATACTACACTGTTTCTACTTTCCAATCCCAACAAGGTTTTTAAAGCGACTGTATGATCATCTTCATTCCTACAGACAAAGATGCGCTAAAATCAAGTGGGCTACCCATGAGCCAATCTGAGCCAGTCTTCTCCAGCCATCAGTAGAAAAACTACAAAGGCATTATCCAAATGGTGGTAGAAGTTAGAGCTTCCTGGCCATTATGACACCATTTATCCTGCATGTAGATTGCCACTGAGAATTACAGTTTTTCAGTACTACAGTTTTCCAGCCAGATGTTCTCCCCAATGTTGAAGCCAAAATGCAAAGAAAGTGTAATTCTCACATGAGGTTCTGGATAAATGTCAAGGTGTGCTTGTTTTTAAGGAAATTGCCATTTGACTGGAACATAATAAGAATAATTAAAATAAAATGTGTTAATAAAGTTGCCTATAAAATCTACTGGGAGAGGTCCAGGTTCAGCCAGAAGATAGGATGAGCCAACTCTTTTTCCCAATTGGAAGATATCCCCACCCTAAAAGCTCAACAGCACTCTATCATAGCATATAACAAAATGGATGTTTTATAATTTGAGCTGTGTCACAGCAAGTTGAAAGAGAAACAGCTGTGGAATTTGTGCCAATTTAGCACTGCTGAAGCATGGTTATTTTCCCATGAAATTATCCTTTGTCATTTAGTATTCCATTCCTCATTGAACAAACTATAATTAATCAAACTGTGGGATTTGCAATATACTTGTGCAGTGTAGGACTTACTCCTAGGCCATTATTTTTTCTTATCTATATTATAGAAAAGCAACCCGCAGGCTAGACTGTAATTCTGCTCTTATTGCAAATTTCCATATGTGATTTGTTATAGCACTGCAGATGATTGGCAAATGGTCCAGTAATAAAGCTTAGCGCTTCTATTATGGGTTTCAGAGTCAAATCACATACATGAACAGCAGCGTCTGTGGTGAGATAAGGAGAACAAAGCCACTGCAAGGTGGCACTGCAATATAAGTCTTGCCCTCTTGAATGTACAGTACATAATGATGTCACATGTTGATTTAAAAATGGTATTGCTTGTGGGCTTTTGTCCTTCTGAGCAAAGCAGCAAGCTCCTGTG